TAAGTAAATAATTAAAAAAAAAGAAAAATTTTTAATAAATTGATATTATTATTATTATTATATCGAATAAATTAATAAAAATTAAAAAAAAAACAGAAGAAACAAAAAACGAATGAAAAATCAATTTAAATTTAAAAAAATTTTTTTTTGTTTGCCATTACTATTATTATTATTATTAATACTATTATTATTATTATTATTATTATTATTATCACTATTATTATTATTAATTAATTAATTTGTATTTAAATATTTCAAAAAAAAAAAAAAAAAAAAACATTTAATTAATAATAAAATAATGAATGATACGATCATAAACAATTACAACAAACAATAACAGCAAAATTATTATCACGTATCGTTTTTATTATTATTATTATTATTATTATTATTATTATTATTATTATTATTATTATTATTATTATTATTATTTTAATGCCATTTTTTGTTTTAATCTCCGATAAAAAAAAAATTAAACGGATTTTTTTTATTAATTTATTAATTAATTAATTTTTTAAATTTGATTTTAACGTTTTTAATGTTTAAATAAAAAAAAACTAATAATGATAATAAAATAGGAGGAAAGGTTCGCGTTTGTTTTGTTTTGTTTAATAATAATAATAATAATAATTTCATATATTAACACCACGTGTATAAGCCTTTTGTTTTTTTTTATTGTTAAAAAAAAAATTGTTTTAAATTACTAACATATATTTTTAAAAAAATTTTATTCGGCTTTGTTACAAAAAATAATAATGATGATGATGTAATATAATTTAAACATTTAATTACGTCAATTAGTTTTATTTTATTTTATTTTTTATTATCAAACTTATTATTATTATTATTATTATTATTAACACGTTCAAAAAAAAAATTGATAAGAAATTAAAAATTCTATTAACTCTCTCATTAATTTTTTTATTAATAAATAAAAAATTTTTATATTAATAACAAAGATGGAGAATCATGTGAATAATTAGAAAAAAAAAAAGACATTATTTCGTAGATAGATAGATAGATAAAGAGAGAGAGAGAGAGAAAATAAATAAATAAATTAATAATTTAATCGTTAGTGATAATTGATAAAAGGACATCGTCGTCGTCGTTATCACGAGTAAGTAGTGATAATACAATAAAAAATATTATAAAAAAAATAAGAAAATTCGATTCGATTATTTTTTATTTATATTATTTTTTAATGAACGCAATTATTATTATTATTATTTATATATATATAGAATTATTAATAAGTTAAAAAACATAATGAACGAATTTAAAACACATTTATTGCTAATTAAATAATAATAATTTTTCTCTGTTATTAAGTACAAAAATGTCCGAGAGAATTTCTTAAAATTATTTTACTAATAATAATAATAATAATAATAATAATAATAAATCTAACATTTTCCCTTTTCTTATTTTAATTTTGCTACACGTTCAGTCTTTTTATTTATTTAAATTTAAATTTAATAATAAATTTTTAAAATAAAAAAATCATCATTTATTAAAAAAAAAAACAATAAAATAATAAAAAATAATTTTTCAAATCTGATTTGATTTACTCTCTTAATTCGAATAAATAAATTACAATTACAATCGAAATAATAATAATAATAATAATAATAATAATAATAAATAAACAAAAACAAATAAATTAGAAAAAAAATTTATATTTATTTATATATAATTGAATTAAATATCACATATGTTAAAAATTAATTTCTTTTTATTATTATTATTATTATTATTATCGTTTATTATTTTGTGCTTCGTAATTTATTCCGATTTATAATTATTATTATTATTATTATTATTACGTAACATTCGCTAAAATTATTGCCATTTTTTATTATTTATTATTGTTTTATCGTATAAAATTTAATTTAAATTTAAAAAAAAAAAAAACTAATTAATTATTTGAATAATATTTTAATTTAAATAATTTATTATTATTATTATTATTTATTTCGGCTCTAATGTTCTAATTTTAGATTTAAATTTACAAGAGCGACATTAATATTTATATCGTGTATGGCATAAAATTCTATTATTTAAACAAACAAACAAACAATAATAATAATAATAATAAGTCTTTATAATTTTTAAAAAATTATCGATTAATCATCGTTTTTTGTACTTGGATTTTTAGCTTGATTTGACGAAGCCCAAGTTTTTTTTTTTTTTTTTTAAAACTTAAATAGCAGCTCTAAAAAATTATTTGTATAAATAAATAAGTAGGAAAAAAAAAAAAAAAAACACAAAATTCGTCGATTAGGTCGCCATCTTGTCGTTAATATCATTTATCGTCGGGCATGTATTTTTTCAAATAATCAGAATCGAAATAAATAACGGTGATTGTTATGTCATCTCGAAAATTTCTAACTATGTCTTGAGGTAAAGATAAAAATTGTGCTATCCTCGTCTCATCGAGTCCATATTCTGTGACCCCGAGAGCATTTCTCAAAAGATGAGTGCACGCGTTCGTATCGGTCGGTTTTACTGCCAAACATTCTTTTCTAACTAATAACGCTTCGTTAATTTCTCCTAGCGTCATATTTTCTTTTGGAAGACGAAAGGGAGTCAATGCCGTTTTCCCTCGCATGTGTTCACCCACCATTCGAACAACCTGTAAAAATCAGAAATATAGCATCCCTTTGATTTACAATAGAAAATTTACTTTGGGTTTTTTTGGTAATAACTACCTGTTGAGGTGAAATGAAATCCCACAATCCATCTGTGGCTAATATTAAAAATTTATCTTTTATTGTCAAATGATGATGATAAATATCCGGTTTGGCCGTTAAATAAGGTGGAGTGTGATAATCTCCAGGCACTGCATGAGTTCCAAAATAAGGGCCAGCCATTTTCTCGAGTAAGTCTTTATTCCATTTATATCTAAAATCTCCAAAGGCTCTTAATGGAGCCAAATGACCGAGTAATCTTTCTCCCTTTATAACACTATTTTCTTCTGATTTCGGATGCTCACTCAATATTCTTTTTACTTCTGAAATATTGTCAGCGTTGTGAGGAATACTTATAGTTTTAGGACTCCACTGTCCATTATCAGCCAACCTTCCGATTACAGCTTGACAATCTCCAACGTTGGCAATGTATAAGTTAGGACCGGTGATGTAAGCGACACAGCTAACAGCTCCAGACATGGCGACAGAAAATGTTTTCTTACTTATTCCAGTTATTGTTTCAGCTTCCAATGCTTCCTTTGAAATGTCATCATCCAACCTTAAAAATGATTTTTCTAATGCAGTTTCAATAGACATATTTTCTCTAGTATTACTTAATAAATCTTTAATTAATATTTGAAAGCTGTTGGCATATAAATTTTTTAATACATCCACAAAATCAAATCGTTCATTGTAACATTCCAATATTTTATTCGAATAACTGTCAGTGTTAATAATGGCTTCAGACAGTGACTGTAACTGTTGATGAGAAAGAAAATGTGCTGTTATGTAATGGAATAATCTTTTAGCAATAACTTGCGCACAAGCTTCTCCACCGTGACCATCGAAGACTCCAAATAAATAACCTGATGAAAAAAATAATAAAATTATCATTATAAAAACTACCGAATATCTTTATGAAAAAAAAAAAAAAAAAAAAAATAGAAGGGAAATATTTAAAACTTACCAAAATGACATAAATTACTGTATAGATAAAGAAAAAATTGAAAAAACAATGAAATGAAAAAATTCTCTTTTTTTGGCATTGAAATTGTCATTTAATCATATCGACAGACAGTGAAATTTGTAGATCTCATCATGTTAGATATATGAATTCTTGTTAAAAGAAAAATTTTACCCTTGTGTGTGTGTGTGTGTGTGGTTGAAAAAAAAAAAAAGAAAAAAAAGAAACCTTTTATGATTTTTACCATTATTGTAAAGGCATCGAGCTTCTGTCCTTGTATCTTCCATGGGTTCATTCGAAGGTAGTTGATTTGAATCATAGGATTTAATAGGAAAACCCGAGGTAAATTCTTTGGTGAATTCATTTGCTTGAAGTATATGATTTACCTGACAAAATGAAAAGTGTTAATAGGTAGATATTTAAATTATACTCATTTGATTAGAACCTCAACTGGTTAAAGAAAATGGTTTAAATTCTTTATTGAAAAAAGGAAAAATAATATTAAAAAATACCTCAAGAGGCGTTAACCGGGGCGATGCATGAAGATTTTCACAATTACGAAATCCTTGATAAAAAATTGATTTGTTTACCAAACATACTTTTTTATGTATCAATCCCCGGCCAAAAGACTCGGCATTTTTAAAAAAAATTTTCGTTATAAAGTTAACTGAGGGCAATGAATGCGAAGTGATAAACATATCAACCGTGTAAAAAAAAAAAAAACTATATTTTAATTTACCACCGTCAAATAACTAAATATAATTACGTAAGAAATTAAATACCGAAGCGGAAGACATTTCTTTTTTTTTTTTTTTTGACGACCGAATTTTACGATAAGTGGCGCATTGGTCAAAACAACACAAACATTTATTTGTTTGTATATAGTCGGAGACACCCGAACCCGAACTCCTGATAAAATTTTTCCTATTTTTAAAAATAGATATTATTATTATTATTCCTAATCACGCGAGACGTTAATTATAATTAAATTTTTTATTAATATTATTATTATTTTTTTATTTTTAAACACGTTTTCCGACGCGTTATTTATCAATTCTTTCTTAAAAAAAAAATTATAAAATTTGATTATTATTATTATTATTATTTTTTATTCATTGTTTCATAATCATTTTATAATTGTTTCAAAAAAAAAACTTTTTTAGAGGGAAAATCTTAGAGAAAATAAAATCGCGAAAAAAACCTTTTTTAGTAGTCTGACGAAATTTTCGAACGGGGGTGAAACAAAAATTTATGTTTAAGTAATTTGATTGTTATTTAATTATGTATAAAAATAATATTTATGTAGTTTAGTTTAAAAAAAAGAGTAATGTTAATAATACGGTAATGGCGAATAATATTAACGATGCCCACAACTCTTTTTTTACCTTACTCCATTTCAACTTGAGTCGAGTTCAATCAGTGCGCTCGTGTCTTTCATGGTGAATGTTAGGTTCCGGATTTGAAATTAATTTTATTATTTTGTCGTTGTAGTTGTTGCGGTTGTTGTTATTGTTGTTTGTTAATTGTTGTTTGTTTTCGTTTATGTCACGTGATTGATTTTCGTGCTCGAAATTATTATTATTATTTATTTAATTTAATTTTTTTTACATGTAAAAGTGATGAAATAATTATCTCGCGTTATCTCGCGTTATCTCGGGCACAAACGTTTCGAGTTTCAAAAACGTTTCAAACGTTTCAAAAAGTCGAGTTAACGTATATACCGAATTCAAATTTTTTATTTTTATTTATTTATTTTTTTAAAACTTTCGCGTTTTATCGGTTAAGTGTATATCGATCGAAGTAAATAAGTAAATTTTTTGTTTTTTTTTTTTTTTTTTTAATTATTGTCGATAAAAAAAATTTATCAAAATTTTTCCTCACGACTTGCTACGTATACCGTCCGTCGTGGAGCCTGCACGCGGGCCCATGGCCCTTGAGGCCACATCGCACAAAAGGTAAGAATTATCATTATTATTACTATTATTAGTATTAATCGATATTTATTGGAAAAATTACCAATCAATCATTTAATTAATATCGATCAATTGTATATATATATATACGCCTTTTCTTTTCGTTTAAGTAATAATTATTTGTTTGTCATTATTAACGGTTTTAAACATCAAAATTAATTTATTTATTTATTTGAGTGAAAAATGTCGTGTAAAAAGAAAAAAAGGGGATTTTTTTTTTTTTGCAATCGCCGTATAAAAATAATAATAATAATTTTTAAAAATTCGGTTGAATATTTGAAAATTAAAAATCAGTTACGTTGGTAAAAAGTTTTCGTTTAGAATTTTTTCTTCTTCTTCTTCTATGTCGAAAGGGGATGGTTTCGCTTAGGGGAAAATACCCCAACCACAGCAACATCTATTTATGTTTTGCCTTTGGTAATAATTTAATGGGGCATATTATCATCCCCAAGGGGGGGGGAAGGTCAATTCTATTGTGATTTAGCAATGCTGGCATATTTTTTTATTTTGTAAATTTCAATACAAGACTCTCTTTCATTTTAGTTTTTTTTTTTTTTAAATTGAAGTCAAAAGTTTAATCTATACCCATATAGCACATGAACCGTTTTTTTTTTTTTTTTTTTTTTTTTTTTACAAAAAAAAAAGTTGTTTGGGAATGTTAAAATATAATGGTGGGGGGGGGAAAGTGTGTGTAGTCTTAAACGTTTAGTTTGAACTCACACCTAGTTTGGTATTTTTGATGGTTCCTCAAAGGCATGCTTTGGAAATAAAGAATTGAATGGCCCATAAAATTTGTGACTAATCTGAAAGCCACCTACCCACTCCCACGAGGGAAAACGTGATTCATGTTCTATTACAAACAAGATGACCCACCTGTATGCCTCAGGATTCAGAACTATACCTGAAATGTATCTGACAAAAAAAATTACCTTTTCCGTTTAATTTTAAGGATAATTTCCCTTGAGCACTTTTGTCTTTTTCATTTTTTTTCTTTTTTGTTAATACTCACTGAAGGGAGAGGGGAAGGAGGGGAAATTGATAAATCATTATCTTATTTAAAAAAGAGGGAAAAATTAATAATAATGTTAAGGCTTGCTCGCGTTATTTTCCCATATAACACATACATAAATGTGTGTTAACAAACACATAATTAAATTTTATGTGAATAAATTTTTCAATAAGTTTTTATTATTTTCTCATTAATGTTTTCCATTTTACTTAGAAAACACTTTTGAAATGTTTTTAAAGAAAAATTTTATTTTTTGCATGAATGAAAAGAATGATGAGATTTAATTTATAATAAGTAAACGATACCAAAAAGTTTAAATTTTTGAATTTATTCATTTATTAAAACTTATTATACTGTTGTCAGACAAACTTATCTTTTATTTATCTTAACAAACAAGGTTGATAGCAAACAAAATATTTTTTACAATTTTTATAATTATACTTTAAGGTTCAAATTCAAATCTTTCAACAGCAAAAAAAATAAAATTTTTTTTTTTTACTTAATATGGTAAATTAAAAATCTAACAACTAAAAAAAATTTGAAATTTATGTTTTGTCACATTTTTAACTTAAAAAAAATATAAAAAATAAAATAAAAAAACATTTGAACCAGTTTATGAAATTAACATATCAACATCCTTGTGATGATGATGATGATGATGATGATGATGATGATGATGATGATCAAAGTAGTTAAAATTTATTAATATTATTCAGTTAAAATGATAAAAAATTTATTTTTATGTTTTTTTTTTTCTAATGCAAATGCCTTTTTTAAATATTTTTCCACTTTATATTTATTACTCTCTTTCTTTCTTTCTTTCTCTCTCTCTCTCTCTCTCAATTTCAATACCTTGAATTTTATCACTTCTTATTGCTTAACGTTTTTTTTTAATGTTTATACATCTTCAAAGTTTTCATTTCGTAACAATCAACAACAAAAAAATTAATTAGTAAAATAATAATAATAATAATAATAAGTTAATCTTTTTTCAAGGTGGTTTAAGTTTATAAAAATAATAATAATTACGGTAATAATTTTTACATGATATCATTACATTTAACACACATATATACATCTCATAGGATTCTGTCGTCGTTCGGAAGGGGAAAAAAAATCGTGGTACTAATAAAAAATTTTAAGTTGGCAACGCGTAAAAAAAGTTTTTCATTTTTTAAATTGGCGCCAAAAAAAAAAAAAATGTAAACAAAGAATGACCGACCACGTAACGATTAATATACGTAGAATAAAAAAAAATAAAAAAATTTCAACTTATTTATTATTAATAATTTTAAATAATCAATTAATCATTTTGCAAATGGCGGTTTAAACAAAAGTCAACAACGTGATAATAATAATAATAATAATGAAAATAAAAAAGGTATAAATATCATACAAAAATTTTGTTGTTGTTGTTGTTTTTGTTTTTGTTTGATTTAAATCTTTTGATGTTCGATTGTATATAAAATTAGATTTATATATATATTAAAAATCCAACGATATTTCTTTGGGCCATTATAACACGTTACATCGTCCATGATTTTATTTAGAATTTTTTTTTTTTTTTTTTTAATTTAATTGTATGGTGCATTTAACGATTTTTATCTTGTTGAAAGATGCTAATGGGGGTTATATAGAATTTGTTTTAATCCTCGAGGTTTTTTTTTTTTTTTTTTTTTTTTTTTTAATGGTTAGGCGTTTAATTTATTAATTTTTTTAAAATTTATTTTATTTATTTATTTATTAACGTTTTATTTATTAAATGTCGTTTACAAAACAAATTCGAAAATTTATTTGATTTCGAATAAGAAAATAAATAAAATTTTTTTTAAAATTTCAATCAGCTTTTCGATCCGATTCAAAAATCAATTAATTAATTTATTTATTTATTTATTTTTAAAATTTTTTATTATTAATTGATTTATTAATTATTATTATTATTATTATTATTAATTCAAAAATTGATGGGAGTTTATTAAAACCGGTAATCATAATTAATATTAAATAATAATAATAATAATAATAATTTTTTTTTGAAATTAAAAACGTCCTGTTGGGTTTTTGTTAACTGAACCAAAAATGTTTCCCGGTGGGGTAATAATAATAATAATAATAATAATAACGGGGGGGAGGTTTTAAAATTTTTTTTTTATTTAACGTCTTGTTAATTTGTTTTAAAAAAAAAAAAAAAAAAAAAAAAAAAAAACATCTTTTAAATATTCATTTTATTTAAATTAAAAATTTTTTGTTTATTGTTTAAAAAATTACTAACAAAAAATTGTTTAAACATTATGTTTCGCTAAAACACAAAAAAAAAAAAGAAAATTATAAACAATAAACGTAACAACGACAAACTATTAAGATTTTTATTACAAACGGCAGTTGAAAATAATAATAATAATAATTATAAACAAGAAATTTGTTAAAACCGTCGAAACATTTAAATTGTTTATAAAAAAAAAAAGGAAACTAACTAACTAACTAACCGTAAAATTTTAATAATAATAATATTTATTTGTAAATTTTGTAATTTTTTTTTTTTTTTTTTTTTTTTTTTTTTTTTTAATCACTCGAATAATTTTTAATGCATAAAAAAAAGAGAGAGAGAGAGAGAGAGAAACGTCATAAGAGCGTTAATAAAATTGATGATGATAATAATAATAATAAAAATTACAAATTTAGTAAACGATTTGCATAAATACGTTGTAAATATATA